GCATTATAAAATAATAAATAACTTGGAGTTAATATTACTTATAGGAAAAAAGAAATCGGATTTTATTTGTTTTCAAAGGATTTGAATGATTAAACCCACTACTAAATTCTAAAAGCCATGAGTGTCAAATTAAAGGTGTGGTTGGAAGATTGGCTCGGCAAGGCTTAATTTGGTAAAATTTTAGTTGGACAATAGGAAGAAACGATGTGAAGTTCTAACAAATTTATATATTATAATACACTGTAATCACCAAGAGTCCAATAAAATTAGCATTTTATCAGTCAAATTACTTGGCCAGCCATTTGGATTATAATTGGTGGGATTGAACCGTTGAATATATTCAACACTAGAATGATAAGAGATCGATCTTCTTTTTGAAAATAGAGCACCCACTAATATATTGTTGTACTTCAATCAACTATTATTAAGGGTTTGATTTCATATTGGATGTGATCGATTGGGATTAGCCAATGAGACCCAAAAGGAAAACTGTAAGTACGTAAAGTGGGGTGGGGTGGTGGGAAATTATGAGAAGTTTGAGCAGAAACCTCTACTCATATTAGTCTTATCCTTTGAATAAATGATTAGAATGTTATCTTTGAATCAACGTTTGAAAGAATTAATCATTAATGATGTGGGTCCTTGGTTTACTTGAGTAGAAATAGTATCTTGTCGGGAAACCGAAAACATATTGAAATCTAGTGTTTTTGTCAGTGACTTTGGTCGACCTTATTTTGAACTGGTTAGAACTTGGAAGCAGGCAAGAAGCAATCGACATTCCACAAGAGATTTTATAATTCATGTACGATAATAAATAATTTGATATGTAAATTTTCGAAAAAGTAATATTACCTTTACAAAAAGACATACAAAGAGTCAAATCTAATCCTTGAAAGAAGAAAAAAAAAGAGAGAAAAAGACAATCATGAATTTCAAGGACTAGATTTGACTCTTTGTATATCTCTTTGTAAGGTTAGTATTACTCTTTTCGAAAAGTACATAATAATACATGATTTGAGATGTGAATTTTTGAAGGCTATATAATGTGAAAGAAAACATGTACATATTTATTAGAGCAAGAGCCTCTAATACAAAATCATTCATGAACCTTGGCAAAATACTTCCTTATATTTCTAGAGTGATTGTGGTACTGGTATCTGTGCAATATCACGACTGATCGATCTTTCTAAGTGTAAGACTTTAGATATAGAATTTTGGAAACTTAAGTATATGCTTTAGATTGAAATGATGCATGCATGGTTTAGTCAATTCTATTTTCATGAAGATTTGAAAGTAATGGTTTAACCTAACCTCCCAAATGTGTTCAAATTAACTTGATAATTCTGTATGAAATGACACATTCGAATGAGCGGTTGATGAAAAAAATAACATCAAATACTTCTCTTATACTGAATTGTAAATTAAATTCCAATTCAACTAGCTTGGTTTATTAATTTTAAATATGGCTCAGTGGATGAGGAATTGCATATCATATTATTAATTTTTGCTCTAAGCAATTAGGTGGTGTCGTTACTTGTTGATGATGTTGCTTAGTGATTAATTTAATGATTAATTACAAATTGAGGATAATTATGCTTTATTATGTGTATAAATTGATCTAATGATGTTGATGTAGGAATACATATATTTACCCATCACCTTCAATTCCTTAGTTTGCCAATGAAGTTTATATAAAACCAATCTTCACAAGGTGTATTGACACCAATTAATAAAAATTATATATCTTCGATCAAGGAATTGAAACGATCAACTTGTCATTCATACTTAATTGATCAATCATCTTGACCCTAGAGTAAGTCGATTTTTTTTTCTATCGAATCGGGATGAATAATGTAATGTCATTCTATGAGATCAATATTGACGTGTAAATGATAAGTTGATTTTTAGGTTTTCAAAAGATAGGACTGATTAAACCCACTACCAAAGACAGATATATATGCACTCCCATCACATAAAATCAAACCATTGGCTTCCTGGGAATTACATAATTTGGGTTTGTCAATGAATCCCCACTTCTCTGAGCTCTCTCTTTCCGAATCTCCCTAATATCTATTTCACATTGTTATGCCTGAAAAAGTAGGGCTAACGCAAAACCTAGTCAGCATAAAAAGTCAGAACTTAGGTAAGTCCGCAGCCAGTCAGAGGCAGCCATGTCACACAATGACATGAACGGCATACACCTATCAAGGCAATGTGTGCGCGTCAGACCAGCCAGGAGCTAGAGTGATTCCACGTGTCTAATCCTTGCACCAAATCGCGTAAATAGCTCTAAAAGGTGGGCAATGAGACATAAAGAAGGATTTGCACGGATAATCCCACCAACTCACAGATTTAGTAACCATAACGTTAACTCATCCCACTATAAATTGAGAGTTCCTCTCTCATTTGGGGAATTAGCTAATCTCTCTAAAGAAAAACAGCATTCTCTCTCTCTCGTGTAATCATTTGTAAGTTAGCTCGCTGAACGCGACCTGACCACTATTATTAATACAAAATCAGTGGACGTAGAATTTGCTTCCTTGAGCATCCGAACCACTTTAAACGCTGTTCTCCATTGCTTTACTCTCACTCTCTCATCCACGTGCATATGTCTTCTGGGCCAGCTCAGCATTTCGCACGTGCGTTTGGTTGATGTCAAAATCACGCATCAACAGTTTGACGTTAGAAGGAGGACATGATTTAGTATTCGTCCTTCATTAGGAGAATCTCTAACTTACTGGTCCTATAACAGCAAATGGCTCGCCGACTTGAACCTGAGTGAACCAATCAGGGTGTTGAGGAGATCCCCCAAGTACAGGAGGACACCTCTACCGAGGTACCTTCGGTTCTGCAAAATGTTACGAGGGACATCCCGTCAAGTTCGTAACTTGACCCTGCCATCATGAGCTACCTGGAGTGGTTCAACAAAACTCTCCAAACGGTCAAACAAAGGTTGGACCATTTGGATCAGGGCGTGCCACCCAAACCAGTTGGGGTGGTACAACCGCAAAAAACGTCTGCAAGTCGCGCAAAAGTGCGACAAAGGGCGATAGCCCATGCTGCGAGCATTACAGCACGCCAAAGGAAGGGTAAGCAAGTGGTGAAAAACAGGCGTAAAGGCTCCAAAGGGTCGGCGAACACCGACCACATCCAAGTAGAATACCTGTGGCGTTAAGACTCGGTGAATGGTTGCAACCTAAGCAGTCCCACGCCACGTCGCATGAACACGCCCATAAAAGTGTTGGGCGGGGCAATTCTCATCACCACCAGAGAAACAATCCTGATCATAGTCGTGCGGAAGGTTCCCACACTCTGCGGGGCAGTTCGTACCACCGCGGAGGTCGTAAAAATTTCCCGCACCATTCATCGCCATCACACGGCTCTAGCCAACATGTGTCGAGAGCGACCGAAACTACCAGCCGAGGCGAAGTGGAATCCGACCTCCAGACTTTTCTCAACTGTAATCGCGAAAATTGAACTCGCATGGGGGAAAACAATCCTCAGATAGCTCCATTGCCCCAGATTAAGGAGCTGCAGTGAGCTCTAGACCAGCTAAAAGCTCAACAAAATGAGCAAGGGCAGGTCGCATCAACGTCTCCCTTCTCTCCGGCAGTGTTAGCCGCCCCACTCCCATCAAGATTTAGAATGCCCAATATGCGGGCATTTGATGAAAATTCTAATCCGCAGGATCACTTGTATGAATTCAACGACCTGATGGAACTTCACCAGGTTTTAGATTTGGCGAAGTGTCGTTGTTTGGCAGTAACCCTAACCTCTCATGCCAAACGATGGTTCAAGTCGCTCCCAGTAGGATTGATCAGTTCGTGGCCTCAGATGAGCATGACATTTCTAAGGCACTTCCAAGCAAACCGAAAGTTCTCAATGCCTTTAAGCTACCTCAACAATATAAGGCAAGAAAGGGACGAATCCCTCCAATCTTACATCGACCGATTCCACAGAGAACTTAATAAAGTAGCTCACACTCCCGAAGAGTCTGTTCGGACTCTCATCATAGCGGGAGTTCGCCCACAAACCGACTTGTGGAAAGAGTTACAAGCTGAGGATGATGTTTCCCTCACCCGCTTCTATAACCTTATGGAGAAGTACCTCCGTATTGAAAATTTCTCGGGAGCGCTCCACTGCTGCGACCCCAGCGTTTCAGGTAGTGCGCCTGGTCAGGGGGAAAGTAGGAAACTTGATCGCAGGTGGGCTACTAACGATCAACGGAAAGGAAAGAAACCGCATTATGAGCCCAAAAAGTCTTATGCTCCAATTCCTCATCGTGATCGCGACAGAAATAAGTATACTCCTTTGAATGCGTCTATATCGGCTATTCTTGACAAGTCGGAAGAAGTCAGCCTGCTTGGAGAGTCTTAGCCCATGAAAAATCCCCCATCAGCCGAAAATAGTAAAAAATACTATCGCTTTCATCAGGATAATGGGCATCACACCAATGAGTGTCGAGCTCTCAAATAGGCAATCGAAGACCTTATCAAATAGGGGTATTTCAAGGATTATATTGATGACTCCACTCCTGCACAGGAGAAAAATCAGGGGAAACCAGGAAAGAAGCGTCGTGATCACAAAGGTATATGCAGCGTTAATATGATCTTTAGGGGACCGTACCTCAGTTCCACCTCAAACTCCCCAGAATTCCCCAAAACTTCCCAACTTGGAGGGTTCGGGGTGGAATTTTTTGGAGTTCTTTGGGGTGCAGTTGGAACCCCAAACTCTTGGACCGAAGCGTTCCACCCCAAACTGCCCAAGTTGGGAAGTTCGGGGTAGAACTCCCCAAAGTTCTACCCCAAACTTGATTTCTACCCCGAACTCCCCAAGTTGGGGAGTTTCGGGTGGAACGCTTGGGTCCAGAGTTTGGTGTTCCAATTGCACCCCAAAGAACTCCCAAAAATTCCACCCCGAACTCCCCAGAACTTTCCGAAGTTCCACACCGAACTCCCCAAGTTGGGGCGTTCTACCCTTAATGGTGTATAGTTTTACCTTTAATTGCCAAGTAAAGAGAAAGAAAGACCTGAAGGAAGAAGAATTTGCTGGGCAGCTGATACAGAATTTTGGGCTGGATAACGCTTATGCTCCTCTTTGACAAGTAATGCATAAATGAAGGAGTTGAAGCCGCCGGCGATAAAGGGTGTTATTTTACAGGAGTTAATATCGAAGACTGTCAAGTAAGCGAGGTGGCAGAACTCGACGGGAGTCAACTCGCCGTCCTGCCAGTCGAACTCGCCGAGAAGGTGGTGGATAATGTTTTGACGTTCATGCAGATAAATCTTGTTGGTGGTGAGAACAAGACTCTTGTAGACTTGCATTTTTTCCGAATTTTTTATTTCAGAAGGGAAATACCCGGTGTCGAGATCTATAGATAGGCTGGAATTTCCGGTGCCGCTGGCACCCATGATGACGATGATCTTGCCTTTTTTACGGTGGTGACGGTGGGGCTGGAATGTGGGAGGAGTAGTGATGGGTTTGGTAGTGGTAGACGAAGCCATGACCATGAGAGTTAACGTAGATGTTTGGAAAAGCATGAAATGAATATCATGGTAACTGAGGCGCATGTGTTCTTATAGCTCTATAAAATAATAATATAATATTTGAAACCGGATCTTATTTGTTTTCGAAGGATGACTGACTAAGCCTACTACTAAAATCTGGTTCTGGCCAAAAGATATATATCCAAGTCTCCACTCCACATCACATAAAATAAAACCATTGGATTGCCGGGAATTAATATTGGAATTACACAATTTGGGTCTGTCCATGAATGCCCACTTCTTTGAGCTCTCTCTTTCCGAACCTCCCTAAAATCTATTTCACATATTTGAACCAATATTCTTAAAACATTGCCCAGGTTTTTATTTTTCTACGTCAATCTACATAAAGAAAAAAAACAGTAGAAGTTTTTGTCTATTAACGTAGATGTTCGCAACAGGAGAAATAAACTGAGTGTGTAAATTTAATTTGCATGAGTTATTCTAATGTAAATCTCAGGTTTACTAGAGTAATAAGCATTTTAATTCAATGATATTGCATCAAATCACCTAAAAACTTAATTGAATTATTGGACTACCAATATGAAATTGTATTTTTGTCCTATTATTGACTTTTAAATTAGAAACACCTTGTACATGGCCAAGGCTTCCACATTTGATTGAGATTGTCGACGGTTTCACATTCAAGATGGGGACCATTCAAATGCCAATATTTGGTATAGTCCTTTTATATAAAGATTAAGATTATGGACAACAAAATTGATTGAGAATATGGACAACCAAAGTTGAAATGGTAGATCCGCGATGCAGATAATTAACCTAAAAATTATTAATGTTTACCATAAAAAAATTATTAACTTTTCGATATATTGATTAATATTTATACATACAACTATTGTATCATTATATTTATATTATCAATTTTTTGTTTGCTTTTTTACTTATATAGATTATTTGAAATAAACTACTTATTTGTGTATCCATTAATTCTTAGTAGGCTTCATTCAAAGTCATTAGAAATTAGAGGGATGATGAAGGTTGTGTCTCTGACAATATCAGAGTTTTGGAAGCAAGCCCAAATGTTGACCAAACTTAATATCTGCGGAAGACCTCTGAACGGCGTTGCAATTAACTAAACAGTCCCCACTTCCTTCTAAAAAGAAACCAGTAAAAATACAAACATCATTTTCAAGCTCCTCCTCTTCATTTTCCAACCACCCTCAAAATATTAAAAATACAAACATCATTTTCTGGTTATTGTTTTCTTATAGATCAGCGTGTTTAAACAAAGGCATCAACTCAAAGCAACAGTATGACAATGCCAAAGTTTAAACATGACTGCACGACAAAAAGCTTATTAAGATTGAGGCAGCCAGCAATTGAGAGTCTGTCCCTATAAATAATCTTTATCTGTTATAAGTTGGTGGATTCTACCACTCTATTCATTTCACCGGACCCCCTCCCTCACACCTGCCAGTCTTCACTCTTGGACCCGGTCCATCCACTTCTTTATACAAGCCAAAACTTTATCTCTTGCAACCGGAACCGCCTCCATCTCATCTAACGTCAACGTTCTCTGTGAATTGCGATGCTAACTTGAGGCACAATATTGTAGTTTCTACGGGGTGCGTTTGGATAAAAAAATATTGTATTATTAGAAATATTATATTAATGGAATGATAGATTATTTTAAAAATTAATGAGAATATTTTATTAAATGTGTTTGGTTAGATTAGAATAAATTGAAATGTCTGTTATAGTGATATGTTTGGATGAGAGGAATAAATTAGTTAGTATCTTATATAGATCACTGAATTATCCTTCTTTTTTAATAATAATAATATTATTTTTAAAATTGCATATATTATTTTTAAAAATTATAAAAAATATTTCTCAATTAAATATTTATAAAACTACAAAACAATATTTATGAAATTATTTAAAAATATAATTTCCAAAAAAAAGAAATAAAGTGTAAAAAAAGAAGAAAAATCTTAAAAAATAAAAATAAAAAACTATAGAAAAAAAAAAAATAGTTGGTTGGAATTGCATCTAGCAAACCCAAATGATTCACAATCGGTTAGGTGTGGATTGATTCGCACCCAGCCAAGTTTGATTCAACTGGGATCATAAATTTTTCTTTTCAGATTTTTTTTTTTAAGTAATTGAATTTTTTTAATAATTTTAAAAATAAATTTATTAACCCTAAAATTAGTATAAACCAAACTAAGGGTAAAAAATATACCTAATAAAGTTTTGGTGGGAAATGTAATAAGTAGGGCGGAACTTGAATTAAACGACACTGCCATGTTTACATGTTTACGGCAGGCGACACTACCAAAATTATTAAGATTGAGGCAGCCAGCAGCTGAGAGTGTCTTTATCTGTTGGTGGATTCTAGTATTCTACCAAACTCACACCTGCCCATCTATAAATAATTCATTGTGAATGGCGATGCCAACTTGGGAGACAATATTGTAGTTTCTATATCCTCTGTTAGCAGTTCATACTATTGGCTAAGAACAGGAAATCTTCAAGGTCCATTCCTCCAAGAGCTTGATCACTTCCTTTTTCGAAAGTCAAGTTAAACTTGTAAAAGACAAAACCATTGGACACGTTATTCTTTTTGATTTAATTCCAAATAACCTATCATTATCATAATTTCAGTTAAATATTAATATCTCTCAGTAGCAGTTACTTCCCTAAGAATGTACATATTCGAATTGGTAATCGCCCATTGGTTGTGATCACCCTTTGTATAAATTCTTCTTCTTTACAGAATAGGACAGCGTATAACTAATCCCAATTTACGAGCGTCTATTTCGGTGTTTTTATATTACTTAAAAATTAAGCAGTATGTAAGCAGGCAAACTGACAACAACTGTGCTGGTTTGTGAGTTGGGAAGAATACCGTCTTAATGCGATATCATCTTAATGCCAGTGGCTTGTCTTTTCTATACTGCCTTTTAGTTTGAAGTCCACGATCTCATTCACTACTACTTTGCTACTGGTAAAGAATTTATATGAAGAAACATGACCATCACCAAGACAGCAAGACTATTTTGATCGTTTTTTCTTATAGCTTGTCTCGTTTACTCTTTGGTTAACTGTTAAGATCCCATATCGGGATTTTAATCTCATATTTACCAAATGTAATACTTAAGTCTTTGAATTTTCTCACCTATTAAGCCGATCTTTTGAGTTAGACTTTCTTTTGAGCTTGAGTTTTAATATTAACAATTATTAACTTATATATTATGAGAATAATATATAAAAGACTCGAATTTTCTATCACTATTTGGTATGCCCTCAATTTTCTAACACTGCTTAATAGTTCTTACTTTTTTGTTTCTCAAGAAATTTAATACAAATATGACCACGGTTTTTTTTTTTTTTTTTAATTCTTTTTCTTTTGATGAAATAAATATATAAGAGACTAAAACTAGTCTCAATTTACAAGTGTCTCTCACGATATTTCAGTGTTTTTATTTTCTCACAATAAAGCTTGGAATTTTATTATTTTGACCAAAGGTCCATTTTATATTTTAAATTAATGATATTGCTTTCATTTAGTATTCATTTTCTTTTTATATTAATTTATAAATATACGTATTTTGATGCCATGTACTACTATTGGGTTTTGATTTCTTGTTACATGCCAATGTGTAACTAGGAAAAGAAAAAGACAAGAGAATTAGTGAACCGGAGACATTCACATGAAAAACATAATTATTTCTTAAGATTATTTAGTGAATGTAGAGGCCATGAAATCTTAGCAGAATACGTGGTAAATACAAGTGATGCAAAATTTTAAACAAATTAATATATAGTAAAATATTTTTATAGTCATAATAGTATGATCAAATTAATTTTATTATTATAAGAAAATTATAACTTAATAAATGCGTGGTTATAAAAAGAGTAAACAATTTTTTCCCACCCAAGCTTTGCCTTAACGACACTTTCCCATCAAAGTTTATATTCCGTTAATACCCAAATACACTTTACTTTCTTAGCATTCAGCGAGTTACTAGAAGCCAAGATTCAGTGGACCGAATGGTGGCGACCAATTAAATATTCGCCACAGGAATCAGATGAAATCAACTAAGAATAGGAAACCCTAGATTTATAATGGCCGTCAATCGACAAGAAATCAGAAGCTACAGTGAGAGGGGTTTTGTAGAAATGAGAACAAAGGTTCAAATGGTGGTGACGGAGAGAATTTTCGCCGTCGGAATCGACTTTGGGTAGTATGAGAATATTAACTTTGGGTGAGAAAGTGGCATTTTAAAATTTTTTGAGTGGAAAAGTATTATTAAGACAAACCTTGGGTGGAAAAAAGTGGTTTACTCTTATAAAAATTATTGTTTTGACTTAAATAAGCCTAGTTGAATTGCGCCAAGGAAATTTTGCTTTATGCACAGCTAATAAAAGATAATAATTGAGACATATGCTTGGAAAAAAGAAAATAAATCAAACGAAGAAGAGAAGTTAAAGATTAAGAGACCAAAACCTTTGGATGGCAGCAGGATTTTGAGTTTGAACATGACGATGGTGATCTAGATGGGAGCTTCAACATCTTTGGTCCCTTTTTCCTAACGTAACTTGATAAAATTAAGTGAACATTTACATGACCAACGGTGGTAACCTTCCACGGTATTGTAGATTGATCGATCCAATAAACGATTATGTGATTCTGCCTACTGCTTTCGAAATTGAAAGGCACAGAAAAAAAGGAATGGAAAATCATCTTACAAGTTCAAGATGACTGTGAAATGTCTCCTGTGGTAAACCTCTACAGAGAAATAAGGGTGAAAAATACTATTAATAAAGTTTTGGTGGGACAAGGTAAGCACGGCAAAGTAACGTGGGTCGTTCTATGTCCTAAAGCAATTGCAAAGTAATTTTTTACTACCATAAGAACAAATGTTGTGCGAAAATTCTTCTCAAATGTTGGACCAATAAAATAGTGCCACGTGTCATATGGACAAAATTAGAATATTATTTGATATGAAGACTTAAAACATGATTTAGTTTGTCACTTGCCCTCCACGTAAATATGACCAAGTCAAGTAATATCACCATCTTTTATTTGTAAAGTCAGTGGTGGGTATGAAAATGACTTTCTGATGATAATATTGCATCAAATCACCTAATTTCTGTTCCAATATGATATTGTAAACATGCATGTTTATATGTATAAACTATTTTTTCTGCCCTCTTTGTTTGTCCATACTACCCCTACATCTTTTAAATTAAGCCCTTGTTACAACTTTAAATTAGAATATGATATTTCATCATGATAAGTTTTTGGAGTAACAAAATTAGTTTTCGTAAATATATTATAAATAGTATAACTGAATATCAAAGTCTTAATGTTTCTTATTTTTGCAGAAAATCTTAATTGAATTATTGGCTATCTCCATCCATAAGAATCAAAGAAAAACAGAAACGCCTTTTGTTTCTTGTATTATTGACTTCAAAACGACTTTAACATTGCCCATGTTTCCGATTCCGTATCTAATTGAGACTAAGGTGACTGATGATTTCAAAGCCAATAAATCATCATTTGAGTAAGAAATCGGTTTAACGGAATAGTAGACAAGACAAAAGGTTCATTCACTGATGTGGGTACCATTCAAATGTCAACATGTGGTATAGTCCTTTAATGTTAAGATAAAGGCTATGGACAAAACACCACCCCTGCTTCCAAATTGCAGCAGGAGCGCTTAAGCCCACAACTGAGTCCTCTTAATCCCTGGGTCACTAAACATGGCCATTCTGGATCATATCAACACCCTTTTCGTGACCTTTCTAAGCTTTGCGTCTCTATTATTAGCAGTGTAAGAAAATGAAAGCTGACCTTTAAAGTACAAACAAGCAGTTTATCTTAAAAGAAGTACCAACAAACAAGTTTGTTCAGAGTAGAAAACCATCTATAAGCCACATTATTAAAAGCTGCATCGGTATGATTGTTTGTTTGTCCCAAGTACTTACAGAATCATCTAACTCATAAGCCAGAGAATCAAGGACAGCACTATCAAAAGCAGCATCAGTAGCAGTACTATTAGCAGTATGAGCGAAAGAGAATTAGAGTCTGACGGCCGCTGGTTGTCCTCACCGTCTTCCTCATCGTCCCTGTTGCGTCTTCTTCGTAGTCTGCGTATATGACTTGGGCGTATGTTCTCAGCTCGCCCACCCTTGCTACATTTCATATATTTAGTCTTTTGGAAGACAGTATGTTCGCCCTGAAAATAAATAATATAACAGAATCCGTATCAGTTACTAGTGTGGTCATCATTAATTTCATAAGAGCATATGCATAAGCAATTCTAGACTCTATATACCTTCGGTAGAAACCTATAGGGGCAGACTTGAAACCTTTGTTACTGAATCCACCACTCAAATCCAATACTATCAGGCTATCAACCTGTGTACATGGGTAGCAAGCACAAATTTTAAACTAACAATTATAGAAATATTCTCAAGCTATTCATACAAGCCTCTTGCATCACGCATGAACAAATAAAAGGATCATGACCAATTAAAAACAGAGCACGGACTCATGACCATAGAAAAACAGAGCAGCGAAACGATGTCATAAGGTATGGTACTTAAAATCCAATCACAGGACGCCATATAAAAGGATCGTGACAATAAATGAAAAACAGAGCACGGGCTCATGACCATAATTGAAACAAAGCACCATAAGAAGATGAGTTGGTTATGGCGGCAAAGGCCGTCTGTCTGCGATGAAACAATGGTGGTGCCAGAACCAGAAGGTGGAGAGGCAGGTTGAAGAGCATATCCAACAATCTTGATTTGGATGGTGAGGACAGGTAAACAAGTGTTAGGCTCCGTGGCGCTTATGTATCTTACCAAGTATTGTCTCCCACATGATGCACCATTGTCCCATATTCCATCTCCGGCTGTTCCAAACAAATTGCTTGATGGAAACTGAGTTTCATGTTCGGCTCCATAAGTTCCATAACATGTTGTAGCTGTATATGTAAGTATCAAAGTTAATTAGCAAGGAGGCAAAAGGTGTTGAATTTAATGAAATGCGTTATGTAATATGTATATATACTCACGCATAAATGGGGGAGTATGCCAGGCAGCCGTTCCAACATCCGCATAAGAGATATAAGTAAAAAGCTGTAACGATAAAACCAGGAGGATGGCGATGACGAATGGCTGTGTCCTCAGCATTTTTGCAACAGCAAGAGGTTTCAAAGAATAAGCTCCCTTTATCTCCATATTCGGCAACAAGAGTTTTCAAAGAATAAGTTCCTTTTATCTCCATTTTCAGCAACAAGAGGTTTCAAAGAACAATGTTGGAATTTTGTCCGTTTATCGTATTATTGGACGCACCACCTACAATATCAGACCTGTTTAACATGGTCTAAGCTTCCATATTTAATTGAGACTAAGGTGATGAAGAGATAAGGTGACGAACAAAAATTACACCACCCCCCTGAACGTTTAAAAAAACAAACGTTTCGGTTTGTGAAGTGTGCAATTAACTATATTTTCCCATGCGCCGTAATTACATTTCTCACCTATAAACTTTGAAAAAAATCATTTTCCCAACCATTGTTAAATTCAGACATTAGTTTTAATAGCAATGAGGTATTCTTGTCAGTTCGTGCAATATATACAGCATTATAGGATTAATGTTACTTACACCCTAAATTACAAACACATAATATTACTCTCACCAACTTGGAAATTAGCCATTTAAATGCCTATATCCAATTTTTATAATTACAATAGAGATTTCATTTTTAAAGTATGTATGTTTCTAAAAAACATTTAAAATTGTATATATTATTTTTAAAAATAATAATAATATTTATCAATTAAATATTTATAAAACTACAAAATAATATTTCATTAAAATTGTATACATTTTATGAAATTATATAAAAATATAACTTCCACAAAAAGAAAAAAAAAAATTGTAAAAAAGAAGAAAAATCATGAAAATTTGAAAAAAAAATTAAAAAACTGAAAAAAAAAAAAAAAAAAAACAGGTTGGTTGGAATCGCATCGAGCAATTCCAAATGATTCTTACCTGGCTAGGTGCGATACTAATTGATTCGCACCCAGCCAGGTATGATTCTACTGGAATCACAAATTTTTATAATTTTTTTTTTTTGGATATTTTTTGTTTTAATAATTGACTTTTATTTTTTTTAATTTTTTTTAAATTTATTAACCCTAAAATTAATATAAACCAAACTAAGGGTGAAAAATATATTTAATAAAGTTTTGGTGGGAAAATGTAATAGTAGGGTGGAACTTGAATTAAAACTACACTACCATATTTACATGTTTATGGCAGGCGACACTACCAAACTTATTAAATTGAGGCAGCCAGCAACTGACAGTTTGGACTGTATTGGCTATCCCCGTTTGGACTGTATTGGCTATCCCCCTTTGGCTGGTGGATCCTACCATTCTATTCCTGGATCCAAAGTCACGCCTGCCCATCTATAAGTAATTCATCGTGAATGGCGATGACAACTTTGGAGACTATTGTAGTTTCATATCCTCTGTTAGCAGTTCTGTGCCCACAAAATCACATTGATATTACCACCAATTAATTAGAATTTAAGAAGGTTTTATATCGTCTAAGAGCTGTCCCATCACCCTAAAACAAAAATGATACAATTATCACTAATTTAACAAATCCACTATATTAAAGTTTTATCTATAAGTACATGAGGATCACACATCTGTCTCAATTTTATCAAAATAAAGTTATAAGGATTAAAGAGTGGTTCTCATATGTCAGAGCAATTTGCAGAAGCACTCATTAACCTCAAAAAAGTATAAATAAGCACATCTCTTCACGAAAAGGGAGGTTGAGTGTATAAGAGTTTCATTCTTTCTCTCTGTAGGCAAAGTATTTCTTCATCTTTATGTCTTACAAGTAATATCATGGAAATACTCAGAGAATAATAAAATAACAATGAATATAGAATTTGTTTTAAGCATCCGAATCACTATAAAAACCTCTCTTGTCAGTCTATTATTTATGTTTCTGAAATTTATATAACCTCAGCATTATATTCAAATCTCAATTCATCACGTGTAATTTCTAAGACTCTCTTAGTATTTTATATATATAAGTCATTGGTGTCCAAAATCAAGCATTAACAATACTATCGGATAAGAACAGGAAATCCCCACGGTCCATTCCTCCAAGATCTGATCACTTCCTTCTTCAAAAGTAAAGTAAAACTTGTAAAAGACAAAACCATTGGCCCCGTTATTTATTTTGGTTTTAATTCCAAATAACCCATCATTATTATTAATATTTCAATTAAATATTAAATATTAATATCTCTCAGTAGCAGTTACTTTCCTAAGAATGTTCATATTCGAATCGGTAATCGCTCAATAGTTGTGATCACCCTTTGTATAAATTCTTCTTCTTTACGGAATAGGAGAGAGTATAACTAATCCCAATTTATGAGCGTCTCTCACGGTATTTCAGTGTTTTTATATTATTTGTAAGCAGACAAACTGACGCAGAAGACCGTCTTAATGCCAATTAAGAGTGTTTTTATATTATTTGTAAGCAGACAAACTGACGTAGAAGACCATCTTAATGCTAATTAAGAGGATATCATCTTAATGCTAGTCGCTTGTCTTTTCTATACCTGCCTTTCGTTTGAAGTCCAGGACCTCATCTACTACTACTTTTGCTATTGGTGAAGAACTTAAGTGAAGAAACATGACCATCACCAAGACAGTAACATGACCATCCACACAACTTTTTTGATCGTTTGCTCTTTGGTTAACAATCACTGGCTTACATACTATTCTCATATATAATAATCATTTATAAAAGACCCATACCCAGAATTTTCCATCACTGTTTGGCATGCTGTCAATTTTCTAACACCAAGTTAGAATTTAAAAGATTGATTAATGATGTGTGACTCAAGACATTAGATTTTTTTTTTTTTTTTTTTTTAATTGAGGGTGTCCAACCCAATTTACGTGTTGGTAGTAGATCTTAAGACATTAGAGATATGGAAGCAAAAATGCCAAAATGTTGACCAAACTCAATGCATTGGCGTCAACTCAAAGCAACAAATTACAATGCCAAGTTCAACATGAATGCACTACAAAAAGCTTATTACGATTGAGGCAACCAGCAATTGAGTGTATTTCTATAATAATGTATAAAAAGACTCAAAATTTTCCTTCACTGTTTGGCATGCCCCCAATTTTCTAACACGACATTAACAGTTCTTACTTTTCTGTTTCTCAATAAATTTAATACAAATGTTATCCTCTGTGTTAATTGCAGCAAATGGCAAAGACCTTAACAGATACAAAATTTATTAACTTTTCGATATACATATTGATTAATATTTATATATACATTTATTGTACCATTCAAAGACATTAAAATTTAGAAGACTGATGAATGATGTGTGTCTCAACTCAAGACATCAGAGTTCTGTAAGCAAAACGTTGCCAAATTTTGCTCCCCACAAAGCCAATAAAAGATAATACTTGGAAAAATGAAAATAAAACAAATGAAGAAGAGAAGTTAAAGAGTAAGAGACCAAAACCTTTGGATGGCAGCAGGGTTTTCAGTTTGAACATGACCATGGTGATCTAGCTGGGAGTTTCAACATCTTTGATCTCTTTTGAGTGCGTATAGAACTTATAGTAAAATAAAAAGATAAATGAAGTGAAAAATATTTTCATGAATGTTTCTGTATATATATTAATTAAATCTTAAATGATATCATATGATATAAATATTTGCTATAAATCTACCATTAATAAAAATAATTATTCAGCATGGTCTTTTAGTTCCCCATTATCAAGTATTGTATAATAATCAGTAATTTTAAAAATAATTTCTTTCTTTTTTTAAAAAAAAAAATTTATGGATCTCCTATAATATAGGTCCTTATTAGAGGGTGAAAGTGAGAATCCAATTCTCCATCCGGGCCGAACAGTTAAAGCCCAGAACACAATCTACAATTCAAGGCTCAAAATTTCAACTCTGGTCAAGGTCCAGCCCACATTATAAAATTTCTGAATTCCTATAATCTTATGTCCATTGTCCACCAGGACAATTTATAGTACCACAAAGGCTCTGCAAAAAGACGCATGAGAAGATAAGCAGCTTTGTGAAGAGGCCAGACAGTGCCATATTATATTAAGCGTATAAGGAAGGTATTTATCCCAGGCATTTATATATATATAAAATGATTTTTTGTTAATTTAATAGTAGAAATCTAGAATTTACAAAACCATGGGTGGAAACTTGAGACTCGCAAAACCTTGGGTGGGAACATGTCTTTTACTCAATTTGTGAAGACAACAACCCGCGGCCGGCAACAGCATATATTTGTATCCTATGTCTTCAATTTATAACATTTCTCCTTTTGTTCTTCAATTTATAAGTTTTCTTCCTTTACTTATGTAGTAAATGCACTCGTGCTGATATCTATCACCACTGTTAACCTAATATATTAAAAAAACATGTTAGTATTAATTTTATTTTACATTTGTTTTGTTTTTTTTTTTGTTTTCTTATTATTGGATATTTTCTTCAATTTTGGTTTTTAATCTGATTACACGGAGCCACCATGTAAGCATCTTATTATTTTTGTGGAAAATTTGAATTGAATTATTGGCTATCTCCATGAGTGGACTGTCTCCAAGATTCTGAGCAATAAGAAACAAAGAAAACGGAAAAGACTTTTGTTTGATTTTTTGTTACAGACCAATAGGCAATAGCTAGTGCCTAGTCGCTTATATTTTCTATACTGCCTTTCGTTTCAACTTTCAAGTGCCCGACCTCATATAATACGACATTGCTATTGGTGAAGAATTTACTGGACCATCAGCAACATGAGCATGCATACACGACTTTTTTGACTCAATTAATTGAAGAATTAAATTATGAAGAAGAGGTATTCAATGGAAGACCTTTTTTTCATTAAATTCATTGCAACCAAGTAGATTTAGTAATGAAACAAGTGGTCAAAACCCGTATTTTAATTCTGATCCCATTTGGGTCAATGCTTTAAAATTCAACAGCTAAGATGTGAGGCAGATTTGTTCTATCCTTTGTACTCAAACAATTACAAGTCGAACAGACACATCCCGGCAACTCTCTCTATTCATTTCTAAATTATATATAAAATCATAACAATCTCTCTCTCTCTTTCTCTCTTTCTTCTTCACAATTTCATCAT